AAAAGCTTTCAGATTTTCACCATTAAATATGATATTAGCTGTGGATTTGTCATATATGACCTTTATTATGTTGAGATATTTTCCTTCTATGTCCACTTTGTTGAGAGTTTTTATCATAAAAAGATGTTGAATTTTGTCAAATGATTTTTCTGCATTATTGAGATGAGTATAGGTTTTTATCCTTTATTTTGTTAATGTGATGTATTAATTGATTTACAGATGTTGAACCATCCTTGCACCCCTGGGGTGAATCCCAGTTGGTCATGGTATATAATCCTTTTAATGCATTGTTGAATCCTATTATTTTGTTGAGAAATTGTGCATCTATGTTCATCAAGGATATTGGCTTTTTTTTGTATTGTCTTCATCTGGTTTTGTTATCAGGATAATGCTGGCTTTATAAAATGAATTTGGAAACGTTTCTTCCTCTTCAATTTTTAAAAAATAGTTTAAGAAGGATACGTATTAATTCTTTAAATGTTTGGCTGTTTCTTGAGTGAGAGCTGTGTTCCACACTTCCCTGTACATACTATATTTTTTGAGAACATGAAAGATTAAGGAGAAATACCTGAATGTGGTAAAGTACATTTAGGCCTCATTGTCATTTCTTCCTGGAAAGTGGGTTCAGCTCTGGGAGAGGCCAGCCCAATGAAGTGGGGGATGGGGTGTTCTGCTACCTTTCAAAGTGCTGCCACCTGTGGGTGGCCTGCCTGGGCTCACCTTCCCTGTAGGCCACCTGGGAAGGTCTGTGTGCTTGTCTGTCTGCATGTCCTGGGCCAGATGTCCAATGGCAGCAGAGCAGTGGGGTGGCAGCTGTGCTGAGTGGCTGGGTGGGGCCTGTGTTGTGCCAGGTGGCCTGGGGTGCTTTCTGTACTGGAAGGCACAGCCCCCATGACCGGCTGTGTGGGCAGGTCCCCCACCCAGCCCAGTGTTCAGGGCCAACAGCCTGCTGAGGCTCACCCATGCTACCTGCTGTATGCCAAACATTGTCGTCTTGGATAGATCACATTGCACGGGACAACATGTGAAACGCTCCCAGGCTGTATTTCTTCTGCTTCAGGCCACATGTGTCCTGGGTCACCTATGCACCCGCAGATGCACACACAGCGTTGAGGATGGTGGCCCGAGTGTGCCATGGAAGGCTGGATCCCAGCTCCTCAGCCAGTTTCCAGTATAGTAGCCCTCTAATTTGTGGTCGGTTTCACTTTCTGCAGTTTCAGTTACCCTGGCCAGAAAATATTGAATGGAAAATTCCAGAAATAAACAATTCATAAGTTTTAAGTTGTGTGATGTTCTGAATAGTGTGATGAAATCTTACGCCATCCACTCCCGTCCCACCCCAGATGTGACTCGTCCCTTCGTCCAGAATCTTCACATTGTAGATGCTCCCTGCCTGTTAGTCACTGATCAGATTGCTTATGGGGGGAGGTGGAGGAGACCACATTCATATAATGTTTGTTACAGTACATTGTTATAATTGTTCTATTTTATTACTAGTTATTGTTGTTAATCTCTAATTGTGCATAATTTATAAATTAAGCTTTATTATAGGTATGTATGTATAGGAAAAATCGTATATGTAGGGTTTGTTACTATTGCAATTTCCGGCATCCACTGGGAGTCTTGGTACGTGTCCCTGCAGATAAGAGCAGGACAGCTTTATTACAAATAGTGCCGGCATTTTTGTATAACACCATTGCATTGGATAATGCATGAGTGACGTACATGTGTCTATGTTTTAAGATAATATTTCTAAAAACAGAATTGGTGGGTAAATTTTTATAGGTATGTCAGTCCAGAAATCTAGCCATGGAGGAACATTTCATTCTCCTTTTTCTTGACAGTGATCTTATCAGACACTGATTTGTGCTCATCTGATAAATGAAAAATAACATATCAGTATACTTTAATTTTGTTTCTTTGAGTGGGATGGAGCCTCTTATAAGTTTTAACAGCAGCAATGTTTACTTCCCTTGACCTGCACGTTCATATTCTATGTCCACTGCAGTCAGCTCCTTTTGTTATTGATCATTAGGAAAAGATATACACAAATGCATGTACACACATATAAGTACGCACCTCTCCACAAGCACATGCATGCATATGCACGCACACAACCATAAGCACATGCATGCACACACATATGCACACACATGCATAGGCATGCACGCACACACATTCAGCACACATACCCACAAGCTTATATGTATATCCACGCACGCATACACCCACAAGCATACACATGCGGCATATGCGTGCATGCACATCTGCATGCGTACACACCCTCAAGTCCACAAATGCATATACATACACACAAGCACACACACATGTGCACACATACCCAAATACACACACACACACACACACACACACACATAAGCACACAAGCAAAGAAGGTCGGCCCTTCGTCTGAGATCTGAGTTACAACATTTACCCCAGCTCTTGTCCATTGGTTTTTGACTCTATGCTGCCTTTTCACTGTATAGATTCTTGTATTTTTAGTCAATTTAAAAAAATTTTTCACAGTCCTCTAGATTCTGAGTCACTCTGAGAAAAGCCTTCCTGATTCTAGGAGTGTTTAATAAACCTCTTGTCTTTCCTCCAGGACTGCTGTGGCTCTTCTCTGTGTTTGGTTTTCTGTCCTGGATCCCCAGCCCCTGTCCCTGGGGCTTCCTCCACTGAGCCCAGGCTGGCCCTGCTCCCTGCACCCCATACATTGTCTGCCCACTTATCCCACCACCTCACACCACCACAGGGGTCTGTCTTCAGCATCCCAGCCCCTGAGCCCCAGGCAGGCCATGCACTGAACACACCGTGCACTGACAGTTAAGGGGGTCCTGGGGCGGGAGCTATCTGGGTGCTGGTGTCCGAGAGTTGGGGAGGGGCTACCTTGGGAACAGAGAAATATGGCTGCAGCAGGGTTCCAGACTCTCACCACTGCTAATGGGTAGAGGACCCGAGCCTTCAGCCCCCATGTGCAGTGTGGACGTAGGCGGCCTGGTGTCGGGGGAACCTTTGCCCTTGGCCTCCCCAGGCTGGGAGGCAGTGTAACCTATCACCTTCCCCTTGTCCTTGTTCATACTCACAGCTGCCCTTTCTAGCCTGGCCCCGGGTCCCTCAGGTTGGCCCCGCCATAAGGGGTTCTCTCGGATGCTAGAATGTCGTGGCACTGCCTGGAGCTCGGTTAATCTCGGAGAATCCAGCCTAGGTTGTGCAAATTGAAGGCTGCAGGGTTTCTGCCGCCTGGCACTCGTCCTGGGCACAGCTGTTGACATTCCTGTCTAGGGACAAGTCTCTACTGTGTGAGCTGCCTTTGTGTGGGGAGCATGGCTCTTCTAGCCTCCAGAGTGGGGTCTGCAGGCCCCTGCCTGTTCCCTGCCCGCCTCAGCAGCTGTCTTTGGGCAGGAGGCCTGGAAGTCCATGAAGAAGCCCATGTGAATCCCAGCCATGTCCTTGTGCCCTTAGAGATGAAGCCCTAACCTCTGGGGACATTAGGGGCACAGGTCATTGGCTGGCATGCTTGCCTCCTCCCTCACCCGCCACCTCTCTAGTGCAGCATCTCAGCTCCGAGCTCATAGGTACCTTCTCCCCAAAGGCTTTGCTGTCTCTGTCTACACTGCTGGGCCACCCGCTCTGTGCCCCTCCTGTGCCCTGGAGACTTTTGGGGTTCTCCCCCAGTCTGTACCTATGCTGGCCTCCCACTGCACACAGTGGTGGGTGGGAATGTGTGTGTGGGGTGCTCCTGGCTCCAAGCAACACTCAGGGAGAGGAAGGCTGGACCTGCAGAACATACGCGGGGACTGGAGCTGGCAGGACACCCCAGGGGCTCTGCTCGCTAACACCCTAGGCCTCAGGAGGTAGTGGCAGCCCCTGCTCCCCCATAACTCTCTGCTCAACCCTAGGGGCTCATGGTGCCATGCTGGCTTTGAGCACATTGGAAGCAGGGCCCAGGCCTGGGGTGTGTCTTTTCACTTCTCCAGAGTGAGGAAGGGGTGGGAAATGATACATTCTTATCTTGGGCCTGTGTGTGTGTACAGGGATGCCTCACTCCTGCCTGCCTGTTTCCCTATGCACCCTGGGGTATTCTGGCCTGGTGTCCCTGTGGCATCCTTGCCTGGTTCCCCCTGGGCCTCCTCCCCTTGGGAGCTGACCTGACCAGATGAGGCAAGTGCTGCCCCTTCAGGGTCTAGGGGGGCCATGCCCGGCCCTCGGCATAGTAGATACCCCCACCCCAAGCAAGGCCAGAGAGAGGCCATGCTGGGTATGTATGGGAGCGGGGCAGGGGGGCAGGGAGGCTTTGAAAGCCAGTACCCAGGCTATCCCCAGAGTAGCATCACTTCTGGGAGTCCACTGGGGGTGGGGTTTAGGAGGGCCCATTCACCTCCCTTCCCCTACAGAAGCTGCAGCTCCCCACCTCAGCCTGGTGGCCACTGTGCCCCAGAGGGACCTTTTGAGAGGCAGCGGGGGTGGGGAGATGGAGCAGGGTGTGGGGCCAGTATCTGAGGACACCCGGTTCCCAGGGATGAGCTGGGTGTGGCTAGGCATGGACATGGCTGAGGTCCAGATATGCGGTTGTCTATCTGGGGAAACAAGTCAGTGGGTCTTAGTACATAGCAGATAGAAGGCCAGGCCTGTAGTCCCTGAATGGAGCAGGTGATGGGGTGAGGCAGGCAGGTCAGATGGCAGGCTGCTGACTGGGCCAGGGCCTCTGGTGGAGTTGCAGGAGAAATGTCTGGTTTCCCAGTGGCAGCTGGGGCCCAGGGTGGGAGGCCTGCTCTGGCGCAGGCGCTCTGGGAGACCCCATCGGGCCCAGGGCCATGTGCACGGGCTGCTGGAGGGCAGGGAGTGTGCTAGGATCCTCCCCAAGGGTCCACCCCCAGCTGTGGATGACAGAAGTGGGTGTCCCAGAGCTGGGTTCTCCAGCTGGGTAAGCGGGCAAGGGCGTGGGTGTGGCGGATGTTCCTTCTCGATGCCTGGCAGTCTGCGCCCTCCCGGGGTCTATGTGCAATGGCGCTTCCTCTAGGGCAGCGCTCACCCTGGCCTCTCTGCACAGGCTGACTGGCAGCGAGCCCCTGACCATCCTCCCGCTGACCCTGGAGCCCGAGGCCACTGCGCAGGCACACTACAAGGCCTGTGACCGGCTGAAGCTGGAGAGGAAGCAGCGGCGCATGTGCCGCCGGGACCCGGGCGTGGCCGAGACGCTGGTGGAGGCGGTCAGCATGAGCGCGCTTGAGTGCCAGTACCAGTTCCGCTTCGAGCGCTGGAACTGCACCCTGGAGGGCCGCTACCGGGCCAGCCTGCTCAAGCGAGGTGCGCAGCGCCAGAGGCCGGGCAGGGGGCCCCGCCCAGGTGCACCACCTGTTGGAGGGGTCCCAGGTC